TTACGTCACTGTCCCGCCAGGCACGACACGGTACTCAGCCCACTTTGAAGCACAGGGACATGGAGCTAGAAATAGTGACCCTGAGGAGTTTAAACTTTCAAGGGGGCACAACAAATAGCTCAACATACATGCAAACACCAGCCTGGTAATTACATTAGAGCTGCTGCTATTAGAAGTGATCAAGCAGACCACGCATAGCATAGGTCCAAGAGATACGTTAAAATCATCATTTTAGGCAGTGAAGAATTACCGCACAGGGTCAGACCAGAAGTCCATGCAGTCCAGCCGCTTGATAATGGCCAGTGGTAGGTGAGCGACTCTTACAAGAGGCAGACGTGGGAGTCTCTCATATACAGATCCCATCTTGACCTCTAAAAGAAATTGCTTTAAAATGGAAACGAGGTTTTCTAGCCCTTCCTACATTGTTATCATTGACACAGCTCTGGATACTCTTATTACCCACACAAATGTTCATCCCTTTACAAAGCTTGTGGCCTCAGTAACTACCTGTGAGGAGCTCCACGTTCTAGTAATCAGTTTTAAATTTGCCACCTATTCATTTGACTGCCCCCATTTTGAATTATGAGAGAAGAGATGCTCCTGATATGCCTTCTCTAGACCATTCGCTATGCTATATATTTTCTCTTCATCTCAGAAAATGAATTGAGAAGTTAACAACTGAAGAGGAGTTAATAGTCTTTGGTATTAATCAGAGAGCAATTTAAACAAAAAGGGCAAAGGGCTGGAGTCTTATTTTAATTTTCTCCAACAATCTGTTTTACAGAAACCTACACCCAAGGGGATAAGAACAGGAAAACAAATAAAAAAGTCTGATTATTATAGAATATATATAAAAACACACACACACACAGTGCCAGGCAGAATGGTCAGCTAGAATGGTGTAGACATGCTATTAAATTGGATATGGCACAAATGGGAAGCTAAGTAGACATAACCAGCACTTTAAAAATTTCATTCTGAAGGAGGGAGGATAAAGTTTAGATCAGAACAAGGTGGATTACAGGCAATGCCCGGGTTACGTACAAGATAAGAACAAACCTACAGTCCCTAAGTTGAATCTGTATGTAAGTCGGAACTGGCGTCCAGATTCAGCCGCTGCTGAAACTGATCAGTTTCAACAGCGGCTGAA